TACAAGATCAATTGTTCCGACTGCCACGCCTCCTACACCGGAGAGACTGGCAGAAACCTCACAACAAGACTGGCTGAACACAGACGGGCGACGAGGAAAGGTGATGTCAGCAATCACATTGCTGAACACCATCGACTTACCAACCACAACATTGACTGGGACTCTGCGCAATGCCTAACCTACAGCACTGACTATTTTCAACGACTGACACTGGAAAGCTGGTTTACTAACTTAGAACAGACTCCCCTAAACAGATGTCAACAACTACCCGCTCCATACAAACGACTCATTCACGACATAAACATCACAAACGACCATTAAAAAACGACCGAAAAAGAACGACCTAACTTTACCGACAGATCGAAACAGACCAATCACGACCGACTTACGTCACTTGAGTCTTACAGCCAATAACATCACGGCAAAACCAACCGATCATTTTACACGAACTGGATAAGAACATTCTACTGACATCAATCATTCACTTAACTCTGATGATGACCTCCGCACAGGTTGTCGAAACGTCAGTCACTACCACCGACAATAGTCCTTCTCAGGACTACACTCACCCGGACGATCAGACTACACCTTCACATGTTACCCCCGGGTTCAAGCCATTTACTGCAAAAGAATTATCATAGCTCGGGGTGAAGCTTATGTGAATGCATGAATAATATACTATCATTATGGTCATCCACAGATTTATTTTGTTTTTCCGATATCACAGAGGTCAGGTGATAGTTCAATTCTTTTTTTTTCAGTCGCCGTTGTTGAATTTCGTGCGTTATCAAGCCAAAATATTGTATAATAAAATTTATTGATTCTCTAATTTTGCCATTACAAATAAAGTGCTTATGATTCCACTCAAAGGCGATAAATAGTATGAATTTCGACGAGTTGAGATGTACTTTGACTATTTATTTTATGTTATGAAGCTCTTTTCTTATAGGACGAGAAAAGTGTAGCTGGAACAACTCACGCAAGCGGAACGATTTTTTCTGACAGGATTTTACCGTAATAACTAGCCAACTGTCAAATAATCCTTACAGCAGTGCGGGATATTTGTACTCTACTGTTTAGTGCAGTTAGAAGATAATTGGACCTCACTTCCGTCACAACCAAGCAAAAAAACTGTGTATAGGTATGCGTTTGAACATCACCTCTTCTTTAAATGTCTCAAGTGTTGGCTTTAAGTTGGAGAATTTTCTGCATAACACATATATGCATAAAGTCAAGTTTCCAAAGTGTCTAGAATAAAACCTGTTTAGAATAAACAATTTCCTCGTTGCTAAGGCCATGATAATAGGGCTATTTGTAGTATCTAAATAATAGAAGGTATATTCCAGCACTGAGCACGAAAGCTAAAATTCCACTTTTATCACGGCGAGAGCAAGATCAAGAATCGTTCCACCAGAACTGGTTTCTGTGAACAGTTTGAAAAATAACGTGTTGTAAGAATGAAACGAGAAAAACCGGGAAAATTCGAAGACGTTTCGATGTTATTTAAACGTCATTACATAGTCAAAAAATGATAAAAATTAGGGTTCATAAATACCAAGAGGAACAAAGGTGATAAACGCAGAAAAACTAACAAACTCAGCTAAAAAAAAGGTTTCGTACATATGGAGTCCGTTTGGATATTAACAAATGGTAAACACCACAGCGTACACTATTGAGTTATGGATGCACGCGGGAGGTTGCTAAGCACGAAGGAAGCGTAAGAGTCGCTCGAGGCGATAGCCGTGAGCGACTCTAGCTTCTTGAGTGCTTAGCAAACCTCCCAAGTGCATCCATAACTCAATAGTGTACGCTGTGGTGTTTACCATTTGTTTTATAACATAACATTGCTACATTGTAGCAAAAGAGTCTTTTATTTAACAAATCTTACGTGACCAGAAAAAACAAGCGCGCGCGGAAAAGTAGTCTTTGCATTTGCTTACGTCAGCAGCGTACACCCATGGGCAAATGGGGGACGCTAAATTGACCAATCAGAGCGCGCGCTTTACTTTGGTTATGTTATAATTAAAATTAGGTTTGAATTACTTGATGAAAAACTTTTCAAGCATCAGGCCTTCTCATGTCAAACCAACCGGAACTAAGGGGTCACAAAAAGTCCACGTTCCGATACTATTGTGGGACAAACATTTTTTCTGTTTTAAGTTTTCTGGAAACTGTCTGACACGCCATTTACACTAAAGCTTAAACATGTTTTATTGCTGTTTTTTTTTTTTTTTTCATCCAGTCTAAATTTGTTTTCTTCGGAAAAGCTGCTTATTTAAACGATGTTTATCGACTTCGAACTTAATTAGCACTTTATAAATACAATTTAATGACTTCTTACACCCTTTGGAAAACTCAGTTTTTAAGTTCTCTCTTTCTGAACTTCATACAGTTAAACCAGGTTTGATGTGATGTTTTGTTGGTATGAATGAGGAATTAATAAGATAAAACAAAACAAAAGTTCGCTAACCAGCCCGTAACGCAGGTACCTTTTTCAAAGATGGCGATTGTTCATTGAGCCGAAATGTTTGATTTAAACAAATTTCTGAGAAATTTTTTCCTTTAACCGACCTTCCTCTACTTTAACAATTAAAGACTGTTACCAAATTTTCGCTAGAAATTAACTCATGAATGCTCATATCCGTGAAGGCTAATGAGTAATTATTGATGGAAATGTCTCAGACTCGCCGTATTGGGTTTCCCCGGACATAGTGAGAAACCTAGAGTTATCAAATAACATCATACCGTATGATTTCGTTTTATCAACTGAGTTGATAATAGAGGTTGGTAAACAAAGAGTGTTTCTAAAGCCACTGACATTTCGACCGTTAGCCCGCCTTCATCGGAGGCTAACCGGCGCGAAACGTCAGCTTAGAAGTACTCTCACCTCATTTGAAGGTCTTGAAACTTGCTCTGAATTCCCTGGCAAAGGCCGTATCACTAAATCCCTCTGAATCCAGTTTAACAACACACCTTTTTACTAAAAAACCTGAAGGTTATTGTGAATCTAACCCCATGGAAAATTTACCGTTATAACCACTAAGCAATTTTTACGAAAACTTTCAAGCATCGCCCTAAAGCAACTTAAATTACATAACTTTTGTCTGAGCTCTCCTTCTGCTCGTTTTTTACGTCACGATCTTGAGCTGAATATTTCCTCGTTTGACCCAGTCCAGCTCTCTGTCAATAAGAATACACTTGATGTATATCGAGCCGCCAAATAGTGAAGAGAATTTTCACTACTGTTTATCGACATTCGGCTACAAATTATCTCGTTCGACGTCGGAGAAGGCATTCTGATTATGCCGTTTTTCAGTCCCGCGGGTTTTATTATATCCCGCGGGTATCGCTCCGAAGCAAGACCGTTTCAGCTTTTAGACGCCATCTTACATGACAGACACACATAGCCTCGATCTCATGCGGGTCCCGCAAGTTGCCAAGGGAAGAAACACTCATTCGATCGCACGGAATGAGTTACTACAAATCAGACTTGTGAGCCACGACACCATTGGATGTTCACTGGTTTAGTTATATCCTCAACTTCGACTCCCCGAGACAAAAACATCCATCTTTAGGTTAGATCAAACGTATTTCACTAATCCATGATTATTACTAATTTCCTCCATGTTCGCCTGACCATGTCAGTTTGAGTTACAGTGGATATGGTGGGTCTATTCTATCGCTCAGGGCACATCTTGTCTGAATCGGTTCTTTCACAGCTGTTCGTGCATCTACAGAATCTCAAGGAATTCTGATTTGTGAGACAGTACGTAAATTGGATCTAAACAGTTTTCCATTGAAGTTTCGAGCGTGTTAGAAGCAACAGGGAGACGTAAACGTTGTAGACGCTGCACATGACGTTGGAAAGGTTGGAGCACACTTAGACGGAGTTGAATGATGAGTGATATACGAGAAGGGTTGTGCGTGGTCATGCTGCGGCTCAAATTTGAAGAAATTATTTGTCAGTCTTCGGACGCGACGTAATGAAATGTTTCATTCAATTTTATCTCTCGAATCGTTATTTGATCTTTTTTCCTCCATGGGCTGACGTAATATATTACGAATAACGGATTGAAGGGATGGTAAAATCATAGATAATAAGCACACCTGAGAGAGGCCAGATCTAAACTACGAGAAAGTTTATTCAGACTAAAAAACGACTTTTTAAAGAAGTCATTAGTTAAGAATCTGCTTTGACAAAATACACAAGGATTAAAGCGACGAAAGTGCTATAGTGTGTCGCTAAAGCAAAGCACCTTTAAATCGATAGGTACAGCAAAATTGCAGGATTCTACTCATGCAGTGAGATGTGAGGAACAGTCTAAAAGGAGGTTTCCATGGCAACAGCCTAAAGGTTGAACGATGCCTGATCGGCAGCATTGCAGGCCAGGTGTCCAACCAACATTTCCGCAGCAATAGCGGCCGGTAACTACTTTGCCTTTACAGCAGACCTGAAAAGTTGAAGTGCAATTAAGATCTTTGAAGCAGTAAATACGAAAAAAAGTCGAAAAAAGTAAAAAAATTATGACATTTGTTTCTAAAGAAAATTAAGCAACCCTTTTTTTATTCCTCGGTAGGGTCTGGTTCTCGACATAAAATACGCTTAAAAAAAAGCTGAGCAACACTTTCAGCGGACGGAAAGCGAAAAAAAAAAGAGTAGCAGAACGCAAGGGAACCTTTAAGGTTCTTAGTTAACTTAGAACTCTCGCACATGCCCGCCAGCGAGCTACTTGTGGACTCCGTTCAAGCAATGAAAGAATCGTTTAATTTGAGGTCGATATTGAGGTAAAATACAAATCGACAGTGGTTAACGATTTGTTAAATCTTAATTAATGCATGCTACCATAGATATAGATCATTCCACGAAGGGGGAGGGGCAGCCTACGATATTTTGTGCGAGTCTGTAACGTATTAGAAATCACTATTTCTAGAAAAATCAAGGTTTGAGTTGCATGTTTATAATGTATAAATACCCCATTTTTCATACCGTTTAATTATATCTACCTGGGTTTCGGTGTTATAAACTCTACTTCCACAGCAGGCAGCATCCTTTGTTTTGCGAACAACCGTTCTTCCGCAACAGAGATGTGTAGATGTGTAATATGGCTGTTTCCCAGCACAGCATCCTTGGGAAGAGGGTTTGTAACGAGCCGATCTGAAGACCCAAAAATAAAACAATTTTTGATTGAAATAGACCATTTTACTCACTATTTGTCTTTGTTGGACACTGACGCTGATGACAAGACTAAAAAAATCTCATTCTGTACTGTCATGATTGATGTAAAAGTACAGAAGTAAATCGGTGGCAGTAAGAGCTAACGGGGAAAAGATTTTTAAGAATATGTTTTCTATTTTGCTTAAGAGGTCTGCTTTCAATCTGAGTTTGACAAACATTGTGTTTTTTTGTGGAGTATTTATTACAGTGAATAAAAATAAAAAAATATTAGAAAAATTTCAAACTTTTAACTCAGATCTAATGATGCTGTATTTGTACAAGTCTGATTAGAACAAAATAAACACAAGTTATGCATGTTACTAGAAAACTGTTCTACGAATGCAACGAAACTTGAGAAAATCTGTCGAAATAATTGTACTTAATTTATCTTGGAAACCGCTTCAGTCATCCAGCAGGTTTTGACTGCATAAAGTGAAGGCGATTTGTACATGTTACATATATTTCCTATATTTAATGAAAATAATGAGCAAATGAAGGCGATGACATGTTTTAACAGAACAAGAAAGAGGGAATTTATATTTTGACAGTTAAAGGAAGACAAAGAAATACCGAAAGACTTATTCACTTAACAAGTTTATCGCAGCCATTAGCAAAGTGACGTAAGAAAAACAAGAACTTAAGTGCCCATCAGAAGAGTAACCTAGCTTCTACATAGTAAAATTTCCTTTGAAATGCGTTCTTACCCGCAGCATCTGGCTTGTGTATTGCCATAGAATTTTGGTTGGATGGTTCCTGAACAACAGAGATGCGTATTTGTGTAATATGGCTGTTTCCCAGCACAGCATCGTTGGGGGGCGGGGTTGTAACGAACCGATCTGAGGATCCAAAAATAACACAAATTCTTGATTGAGATAGACCACCTTACTCGAAATGTGACTTTGTTGCACACTGACGCATGAAAAGACGAAAAAAAAAAACATTATTCTGTACAGTCATGATTAATGTAAAAGTACAGAAGTAAATCAGTAGCATCAAGAGCTAATGGGGAAAAGAATTAGATTTTAAGAATATGTTTTCTTTTTTG